AAATGTGGAGGTCAACGAATTGAATCTCAAGATACAAAATTTGTTACCAGAAAACTTGGTGTCATACAAATCTAGATACAGTTTGCGATGCTACTGAAGTTGTAAATTATTCAACAGAGTTTTTAAACTCATTGGATTTACTAGGCATGCCACCGCATAATTTACAATTGATCATTGAGTCATTTAAAGTTGTAATACATGCAGATAAAAAACCACCAGAAGAACATAGACACAGGTATAATGCACCAACGGCAAATGAAGTTGCTTTAGTGTTAGTAGATCAGCAGTTTGATCGAAAAGACATCATCCTTGAAAACCGAAGTAACTTACTTCACCGTATCAGTGAGATACATCGAGCATACGACACACTGCAGTATCCTTTAATGTTTTGTTGGGGGGATTGGGGGGATGATGGGTATGCAATCAATATACCACAACGCGATCCAAAAACCAAGTTACCGCTTAAAAAAACTGTCTCTGCATCAAGTTTTTACTGATATAGAATAATGGTCAGAGAAGGGGAAGACAACTATTTAGTTAATTATCGTTCTCTTTTCAGTCAATATTTGGTAGATGAATACGCCAAAATTGAAACTGAAAGACTAAATTACATCAAAAACAACCAAGCCAAATTGCGTGCAGATAGTTATATTCATTTAAAAGAAGCGATTGGATGACGAGACATAGAAGCTAATCAGTTAGGCCAAATGGTTATACTCCCGTCAACTTTTACTGATGGGCCAAGGTACATGCACGAAAGAACACAAGATGCTATGACCTATGTTAGACATTACGGTCGTCCTGACCTTTTTATTACTTTTACATGTAATCCTCACTGGGACGAGATAAAAGAGCTCTTACTTCCCGGTCAAAGATCATATGATCGACATGATATAATTGCAAGAGTGTTTCGGTTAAAAGTCAAAAAGACCATGAACTTATTGACAAAAGGTAAAATATTCGGAGAAGTGAGATGCTATATGTATTCAACAGAATACCAAACTGTAGAGAGGTTCAGGTAGTTGTAAGCAGTGTTGAGTTCAGATAGCAAAAATAACATCTAAATAAATATTAGATTACTAGCTAAATCAATATCTAGATTAATATGAAGATAGAATATTCAATTTTTATCTAGATAAATATGTAGATAAAATTTTTTCAACTAGATTTATATCTTATAATAGTTAATTTGTATTTGTAATGCTTGTATTTTTAATTTGTATTTGTAATGCTTGCCATGTTATTGGATTCTTGGTTTAATAATTGATTAAGGGAGGCAAACCAGGAAGGCTCGTTTCGTGTCAAAAAATATATTACCTAATGAATAAATATACATATAAAATATTTAAATACCTATATAATATTATATTTAGCATACAGTAGGTACCAATTTCAACATATAACAAAATATCAAATAACCAAAATCATGGTTAATTACTAATTACTGTAATTAACATATATTTTCTGGTAAAAAAATTAGTTTATATTTTTTATATTACATTCAAACTGCAAATTAAAATATAAATACTAAATTAAAATAAGTACAAAAAAAAAATAATAACAAGTAAAAACCATCAAAATGTTATTAAGTATTACCAGTATTTAGTATACATAGTATAATATAGTACACATAGTGTATAGTATTATACTATGTACTATAATCATTTTTATTACTTATTCACAAGTTGGTAAAAATGTCTAAATCAATTTGGTAATTTTATTGAAGTTTTACTAGGTAAATGTAGGTACAGTATAATTAAAAAAAATATCATTATAATATATTTACCCATAAAGCTTTTATTGTTTGAGCTCCAAATGTCCGCAGTTGTACAAATATAATTATGACTTTGTATTAAATCTGTTATCATTTGCACATATAATGCATATCTGGATTTTAATTGAGCTTTGATTTGAATTCTGTTTGGTAAAATAGAAGTATCTTTAATGCCAGTAAGTCCCATGATTAATTCTCGAAAGCTACGTTTTTCGCATGTAATCAGAGGTTTCATTTCATTAATTATGTAATTAAATACCAACTCATTCATCTGAAACAAAATATTTTTTTTTACTTATCTACTAGACAATTTAAACTTAATATTGAACGTTTTGTAATGTGCCAGAACAGATTAACCTGAAAACCTTTATTTTTATAAAATCCACTAAAGAATATAATAAACTCTTTATTATATATAAATCCTTAACTTATAAACAATATATAAAACACCAACCCACTTAACTCTGGTTAAGTTATAATGTGAGTAAGGCAACCCAAATATTGAAAAATATTTATTAGTTGAAATTTTAGAAGGGTTAGTCTATCTAACTCATTGAAAATTAGTTATTCACTTTAATCTGAATCTTTTTAAACTAGATTGTACCGTGTTCAATTTGTAATAGAAAAGATTATCAGTAGTCTAATATTTTAAACTAAAATTACCTATTATTCAAATATATTTTTGAGGGCCAAAAGTTAAGAAAATGTCTTCTGTAAATATAAAAATTAATTGACCTTTAAAAAATTCATAGAACATATTTCCAAAATAATAAATAGATAATTAAAATTTTACATTTGATTTATAATTATTTTAATTATTTTAAAGGTTTTCTTCATTTATTGTACTAATACATAATTGTTATACCTAGTTAAACGTTAATTGCACAATTTGACAAAACTACATAAAAAATTTATCATTGTCTTTATAACTTAATTAGGTACTACTATTTGTTACTTTAAGTTCGATATAAAAATAATATTAATATAATTAATAACTTGGTTAAAACGTTAAATTACCTTTTCCTCAGACACTTTTTTGGTAGAATCATATATTTTAGTTTGAATTAAGGTAGACGAGGTTGATTCAATCTTTTTCTTTCTTGCATCTTCAACTTTTGACATTAAAAAGATATGTTGACTCTAAACAATTAATATAAAAATTAATAAAAAATTTAATAGGTAAGTCAAAAACACTTATATAATAAACAAAAAAATACTTTTCAAAACTATTATTTCATAAATCCAATTTGATTAATATTCGAAATATCAAAGTATAGGTAGGTAGGTACCTATATTCTTCTTGAATTTTTTTATGTAGTAATTTTACAAAAAAATTTATAAAAACTAATTTATTAGAACATATATTATGAAAACTTACTTTAATATGACTTAATAAGTTGCCACTTGAAGTTGTGTACGCAGTAATGATTTTGTGACAGTTTTGACAAGAAGCTTTGATTTTGTCACCATTTATCGACACCAGTTTATATACTGTATCGAATAAATACTGAAATTTAAGTTCTGGCAATGGTGCAGGAACATCAACAGCAGGCGGAGGTGGGTCATCGACATTTTCTAGACAAATTCTTTTATTGGGCGTTGAAGACGTTATACTTAAAAAACGATCCATATTGGCAGTAAACAAGAAAAACTTAAAAAGAGCAATAAAGTTTACGAAACGAAGTTGTAAATAACAATGAAATTACTCAACACTCATCAGTCTGTGCTCTATAGGGAGTCGCAATAGTAGTAGCCACTAGTCAGTCCCACGGATTATAAATGTATAACCACAAACTATTATCGAATTGATTCAATGAGTGTGACCACGACAGACCAAAGTATAGTCTAGTGACTAGTATCTGGTAAAGAAATTAAATTATTGTACAAATATTATTATTTATAACATCCAATTGGGAATTGGTATTGTCAATACAAAATAGATGTGCGTGTGTATTCTTGCCGGTGGAGAACTATTTTTAGTATTTTCCACATTATTTACCGATCGACGGGACGTGTGGTGGGGTATAACTGTATAAGTGTATAACAGCTTGTATTAATATACGACCGCGACAGCGTCTGCAGTCGGCGTACGGGTTCTATTGTTAATTTGATAATAATGAATCGTCATTAAAGATTAAACATAATTGCATAGTAATACTATGATAGTATAGTATCATATTATTATAATATTTGATGGAAAATGACTAAATGAAAAACGTGCATTATAAAATGAGATTTATCTAGATATTTATGTAGATTTCCGTAACTTAAATCTTAGATACCAATTAGATATTATATAATTTATTCATCTAGATAAGATAAAGGTATTTAATTTTCATCTAGATAAATGTATCTAGATACAACTCAACACTGTATACAAACTATATAAAACTATATATAAACTACAACAATAACATGCAAGTTATCGCAATTTTGAAATATGTTATACAAATTTGGACTTTATGGGGTTACATTATATTTGATATGTAATATTATGTCAATATTCGTTGTTCAAACGCTTATTAAAAAAAAATTGTGCCTATGTATTTCATTTTTTTAAAAAAAAAAAAATTTTTATCAACAATTAAAATAAAATAATTTAAAAAAAAACACACATCATTGTAAAACCAATAGATTCCATAACTCCGTTCAGAATCTAAAATATTTTTACAGGTACTTAGCATCAGGAAGTACATTTACAGATCTTCAATACACGTTTAGAATCGGAATAAAAACAATAAGCTATATCGTTCGAGAAGTATGTACAACAATATGGACTGAATTGTGTAATATATATATGAAAATTCCATCCAAGGACGAGTGGTTAATGATAGCTAATAATTTTGAAAGTGCTGTAAATTTCCCTCAATGCTTAGGAGCTATAGACGGTAAGCATATTAGAGTCATAAAACCCGAACAAAGTGGATCAATGTTTTTAAACTATAAACACTACTTTTCCATCGTAGTCGTCATCATGGCCGTGGCAGACACTAACTATAATTATATTTTTATCGATGTTGGTGCATACGGGAAAGAATGTGATTCAGCGGTATTCAAACAAACACAATTTTGTAAAAACTTATTAAATGATAGATTGGACATACCGTCATCTACAAATAAACTAGAAACTGATTGTGATCTACCTTACGTATTCGTTGGTGACGAAGCATTTGCTCTACATGAACATGTACTTCGACCGTTTGGTGGTCATCAACTCGATGAAATGAAAAGTATATTCAACTACCGTTTGACAAGAGCAAGACGGTATGTTGAATGTACATTTGGAATAATGGCGAATAAATGGCGAATTTTACATCGACCATTAAATGTATCTACGGATTTAGCAGTTGATATAGTAAAGACTTGTTGTTTGTTGCAAAATTTTATTCAAAAAGAAGAGGGAATTATTAATAGTATGTCTAATGATTCAACTACTGAAGATCTAAACTTTGATCTACGCCAATTACCTCGTTCTAATTCGGTAAGAGGTAGCTTAAGCCGCGGTCACACGATGATAGTAAAACGCGATAGTTACTATCGTGAAAGCTGCTATCAAGAGAGAGTCATCGTGTGAACCGATCGATAGTGACTATCAAACTATCACGAAAGCGACTCTCGTACTATCATGCATGCATGATAGTGTGAGACTAAATTTCACGATAGTGATAGTAATTATCATCGTGCGGACAGTCGATTACCATACTATCATACTATTGTACTATTGTAGTGTTTGTACATCTTTTTTTTATTAAATATAAAACGTATTTTATAATTATATACGAATAAAAATGTCTGATACATTTGACATTTACAAGTTCCTGGAAGACTACTAGAGATTTCCATGTCTCTGGCTAAAAAGTGACCCAGATTTTAAATTAAGGCACAAACGTGATGCAGCGGAAGAACTTCTTTTGGAAGTTTCTGGCCTAGGAACAATAAAAAATCTACGACTGAAAATAAGAAGTATAAGGTAATTTAATAGTAGTTATTTTATTAATATACTAATAATAATTTTAAGTATAAGGTACCTAGGTATATTATAAAATTATTTTAGTTAAAACTTGTTTACTTCAAAACTTAATATCACAATCATTCATTTCAATATATTTCTATCATACTTTGTTGTCTTAATTAGTGTTTACTATGTGAACATGTTTTAAACGGCTTATGTATAAATAATTAAATAAATGTCTATTACTTTTGATTAAATTAATGATAGGTCTGTAGGTATCAAGTGTACCTTGTCAAGTTAAATTATTTAAAAAACATTATTCTAACAACCCTATGTAAATAATAATTTTAATATATTATTAGATGTACATATAACCAGGAAGTAACAAAAATTAATAAATCAAAGTCTACAGGATCTGGTACTGCAAATGTTTATGTACCAAAACTACAGTGGTTTATGTATGCGGACAATTTTTTGAAAAAAAGTTTTGTTCTTATGAAACCGTTTTAGTCGCAATGATGTTTCTGCAGATATTTAAAATAACAACACCGTTATCCGATTACCTTCAAACAAAACATCTAGATTACATTCAAGTCTGGCGCCATGTTTCTAGTGCCCATAAAAGCTTACAATCGGTTAGAAACCGTTTTTGTGATATAACAAAAGTTGCTAAAACATTCGTAGACTTTGCAGTTAAAAAAAATTGATGAAAAGGAGCTTCATGATATTGAAATAGAAGAAAACCTTCCGAAGAAACGCAAACGCACTGTGAAACGTATGGACGGTGAATTAACCCGAGATGAAGAAGTTTCCACAGAAGAAATCGATCAATTTTGTATAAAAATATTTAATTTTACAATGGAAACTATTATAAATAGTTTAGAGGTACGATTCTTAGCTCATCGGATTTTATATACAGATTTAGAATGTTTCGACCCTCAAAGGTTTGATGATATAAGAAAAAAATGGTTTATCATCTAATGCTTTATTTAAAATATGTGAACTTTTACCCTCTATTGATCAGCCAAAGCTCAAAGAAGAACTTATTTCTTTTGCTACATCTTGGCCTTTAATTTGTGAAGTTGGTTTACAGAGTACGTATGAAGATTCAAGTCAAATCGATACCGTTGATGATGATGAATGGGCTAATGAGGACGATTTAAAGTGTAGTAAAGTAAAAGAGTGTAATGTATGTCTATCATGCGCATTGCGTATAATCACTGATTATAACATGTATTCCTTACAATACACGGAATTGTACAAAGCGTATAAATATTTATTGACTCTGCCTCTGGCACAAGTGACCTGTGAAAGGTCATTTTCAAAATTAAAATTGTTAAAAACGCGATTAAGGTCTACTATTGTGCAAGACAATTTAGAATCATTATTCTTAATGCAGTGTGAAAGAGACATAGTAAATCAAGTTGATGGAGATCAAATCATAAATGCTCTATGTTTGAACAGTAAAGAAATGCAACGTCTACTCACATAAAAAGATATAAGTTAATTCTTAAGTTTGTGTACTTTTTTTTTTGATTAATTAAAAAGCTGTTACGGTTTATGTTTTTATATCAAATATAAATTAAATTAAATTTTAAAAGTAACTGCACAATTTATTTTCTTAATTGTTAAAACAACTTACCTACTATGGAAAAAAAACTGAATAAAACACTATGAAACATATTATTTTTATTTTTATTTTGTTAAAAATCGCAGAATAAATCATAATTTGTGTTTAACATCTTCAGGTGGTAGTTTCAAGTTTCTAAAAAAAACAATCATAGGTAGACATTATGATTATAGAAACTAATTTTTTTTTTTGAAGTGGTATATTTATAATTATAGTTGGCGCTCTATAAATATATTTTTCCCGCGCCTCTTAAAGGTAGCCAGTACGGGCCTGGTTGTGTGAACGTGTTTTACTCACTCCAAAAAATGACCAAGCGGCGGCTATCAATGATACACTGCTGATGTCTTATGAAGGGGAAGAAAAAGTATATACTTCTATAGATACGGTGGTCAACATGGACGATGCAACTAATTATCCGGTTGAATTTTTAAATTCATTGAAACCACCGGGCATGCCATATCATAGGCTTATTCTACGTGTGGGCACACCTATTATGTTGTTGCGAAATTTGAAACCGCCTAAACTGTGCAATGGGACCAGGCTTAAAGTCAAAGCTTTACATCGCAATATAGTAGAAGCCACAATTTTAACAGGATGTGCAAAAGGGAAAACTGTGTTTGTACCACGAATCCCTTTAATTCCGAATGATCATCCGTTCGAATTTAAACGATTACAGTTTTCCCTGAAAGTCTGTTTTGCAATGACTATAAACAAGTCTCAAGGCCAAACTCTTAAATTTGCAGGAATAGATTTGCGAAAAAACTGTTTTTCACATGGGCAGTTGTTCTACGTAGCTTGCTCACGCGTAAGCTCACCCAGTAGCTTGGTGATTTTGTCGCCTACTAATAGATTAGTGAAGAACATTGTCTACAAAGAAGTTTTGTAGATAACATATTGAAAAACTATTAGTAAAACATTTATTTTGAACCTTTAGTGCTAAAATTTATCGTGAACAAAGCTTCTGCCGCCAAAAGCTATAACTTATCTAATAGGTTGATAATCATTATCTTAAAAACTAAATTAATATGTATAAAATATTATTTCAAAAATCTTAATTAATTTAAATTTCAATAGATTTAACAAAATTTAATCTTGGCAGGTTACATACATTTATATACTTAAACCCGGCAACAACGGGTAATTCAGCTAGTATTATTATAAATCATTTTAAAAAATTAACATTTGTCCATAAACTTCTTTTATAAGCATCTATATCTTCTTCTTTGTAGTTTTTTTTATTCTGGTGTCATTTACTGATCTGTGTTGAACTAACCAACTTTTAACATAGGACTCAGGGCTCCATAACTTAAGTGGGGGTCCATTTATATTTATCAACATCAAATTTGAAATATTAGTTATGCTTAATGTAGACCTAAGATCTGTGCAAATCAAATTTAAAACACTGAAGCCACGTTCACATTCAGCAGTTGAGCAAGGAAAAGTTTTAATACAGTTATTCAACTCCAGAAATATTTTGAGAATATCTTGAGGATATTTATCTTCATCAAAGTATACTTTTAATTCGTTTATTGCATTATTCTTGTTTAACATGAAACGTTTGACTTCTTCTTCACCATATCTTATGTCTAGGGCTCGGAACTTATTGAATTTGCATATTTTTATTGAATACTCCAATAAATTGCTAAGTAAGACAGAAATTTGTTTTGAGTTGTAACTAATTTAAAAACACCAAATAAAAATTGCATATTTTTGCATATATTGAGGTTTTAATGAAAACACGCATTTTTTCTCAATAAATGCATATTACATACATATTTATAAATTGTATGCATGTTATATGCTATATTTTAAATTCGACGTAGAATATTTCTTATAATAACTTATTACTTATTAATGTTATATTTTTCTGTGCACAATTATTATCGATTAACGTCATTAAAGTCAAAACGTCTAACGTCAAATAAAGATAAGATATTTGAAGAGAACATTCTGGTTTTTTTTTTAAAAATAGTTTCCTGTACAGCTCGTTGTTATTTGTTACTCCATTAGCTATACCGTCTACATATCAGTCTCGTGTCTTGCCGTCTCGTGTACGTGATCGTAAAATTGTATTTTTATTTTTGTTGCAAATTTCATTACATTTTTAATTTAATTTAATTTCATAACAAATATGCCTAAGCAAATAACGAGTGTTTTAGTTAAAAAATATATTACTGAATTCGGGTCAGATGTTTTTTCAGCAGACCAAAATGTACTGTTTTGTAATTTTTGTGAAACGAAAGTGAGCGTGGATAAAAGGTTTATTGTCACCCAACATCTGAAGACGGAAAAACATAAGCGGGCAGCTAAGCGTGTTGAAAATCATCCAAGTACAAGTAAAATACTTACACAACAATTTATAACGAACGCTACAAAAAAGTCTGTATTTAGTCACGATCTATGTAAGGCTTTGTTGTCAACAAACATACCTTTGAATAAATTATCAAATCCGTATTTTAAAGAATTTTTATCAAAGTACACTGGTAAAGATATTCCTTCTGAATCAACGTTACGAAAAGGTTATGTTAATGAAATTTATGAAAATACAATTCAAAAAATAAGGAATTATGTTCAAAATAAATGCATTTGGGTGTCAATAGATGAAACTACCGATTGTACAGGTAGATATGTAGCAAATGTTGTTATTGGAATTTTAAATGACACTGAGAGTAGTAATATTTTTCTTTTACATTCTGAGGAGCTCGAAAAATGTAATCATTCCACAATTTGTAGATTATTTGATAAATCTATGAATTACTTTGGCCAAAAAGTGTTCAGCACGATAAAGTATTATTGTTTATTAGTGACGCTGCCCCCTATATGGTTAAAGCTGGAGAAGCCATTAAATTATTTTATTCAAAAGTTATACACATTACTTGTTTGGCCCATGCATTTCATAGGATCGCAGAAACTGTACGAACAGGATATCCAAAAGTTGACAAACTAATTGCAAATGTGAAAAAGGTTTTCCGTAAAGCACCTTCTCGCATTCAATATTTTAAGTCAATAGCCCCATCTCTATCACTACCACCTGAAAATATTTTGACAAGATGGGGTACTTGGATAAAGGCAGCGAATTACTACTGTGAAAATTTTGAGCAAATAAAAGTAATCATTAATACTTTTGATGACAATGATGCAGTATCAATAAGAAATTCAAAAAAAGTATCTCTCTGATCAAAATATTGAAGCTCAACTTGTATTTATTAAATCAAATTTCGGATTTTTACCCGATTTAATTACAAGACTTGAAAAACAAGGAATTTCACTTGCAGATTCTATTTATATTGTCGAAGGAGCAAAAAAAAAATTAATTCAAATTAATGGAGAAATAGGGGAAAAAATTAAAATTAAGATAGATTCTGTTTTATCAAAAAATAAAGGCTATCAAGCAGTTTTAAAAATATCAAAGATACTAAATGGAGAAGAAAACATAGATGGAATACCCGAAGATTTTAGTTTAAATGATCTCACGTATATGAAAAACTGCCCAATAACATCAGTCGACGTTGAACGTTCGTTTTCAGCGTACAAAAATTTACTCACTTCCAATCGACAATCGTTCAAATTCGAAAACATTAAAAAATCTTTAATTGTTCAATGCAATTTCCAAGGTAAAATAATATACAAAATAAATAGTAAAAATAGATACCTAAAGTAAATTGTTTTTATTTTTTCAGAGCCATTAAAAGAAAA